AAAAATTGTCCAGCGGATTAATAGAAATGCAGGCTGTTTTTTTTTTCATTTTTTCATTGGCGGGTGATACGAGATTACATAGATCGCGATGAGCGGAATCCACGGGAATTCCTCGATTCGATACGCTAAATCGAACACGTCTAAACGCACGGAACGTCTAAATCGATCTGCTATGCAAGTTAACATTATCTTAGATAATATACCTTACACAGAAGCCAATTAATCGTTCGGTGATGTATATTCACCCAACATATGTGTAAATGTTCGTTTGTTCTACCTTAATAATTTGTATGTCGGGGTAGGTAGCGATAAATACGTAACTTTCTTTGCTAGAATACGCACGATTATTAATCTCTCGTGTCTTCCTCGTCTTCTTGCCTATGTGTATATGTGTGAATTCTCTTCTCCTTCGTCCTCTCCCTCTGTATTCTTCTTATTTACAATCGAAAGCAGTGGAGTAGCGTAATTTTTTCTAACGACTTTGCATCGCAACGAGCCTGCTGAAGTGTCTCGAGGACTCTTCGCGTATCATCCTGTTGCGCTAAACAGTCTTCACTGATCGCGATCGATCACTATTAGTCCTTAAACGTTTCACACGTGGCGCTTATGCTGAACGATTACGATTTCGCTTACACATAACTATCTTATAACGAAACAATCAGACACTATTCGACTACTAAACGTTAACAGTTAAATATCCTTAGGAATCTACGCATCTTAAAAATAAGGTAACAAATGTTTTCAGAAGAAACGAACGCGTTTACAAAATAAAGATCAACGGCTTAAACGTAAGAGTGTACAATATTTGAACTGTCTCCTTTGCGTGGTAATAAATTGTAGATTCTATTGGAATGAAAGATACGCGACTGTGAAGTTCGAGTGTATGAAAAAATACATCAACTATTTCCTTTCTAAAAAAATAAATCCATAGGAATCTTTCTGCTATCGGAACGTGCAATATCATCCTTCGCTTCATCGCAACTCGATCGATCATCGATCGTTAACGAACCTATCTGCGATATGCATTTAGGGGAAAGTAGAATCAAACCGGGTACCGTTGTTTTTCTAAAATAACATCTGATATGATATCAATTAATACGTAATATTAAATTGGAATGGCTTCTTGACGATACGAGATCAATTATGTATCATGGAACGCGTTCGTTTTTCTAACAGACAGTTTTGAAAATTTCAAGTGTAAAAGTTGGAAGGTCGTATCTGCTAATCGGTAATATTTTTCTATCAGGATTTTAAGATCGGTTATGATAAGTACAATATTCTTTTCTATAGTCTTTGTGGAATATTTTGGCGTTTCCCCTGATCTTTATCTGTCATTAAAATGTGAACATATAACGTTTAATAAATTTCTTTGTGTGGGACAAAATTTGGTATTTTAATACTACATCTACCGTAATGTAAGTTGATAAATGCTTTTTAATCTTTATACTCTACTTATTATTGAAAGAAAATGTATGCAAATTGCCATGCCTGCTCAACAAAGTGTTAATTAGTAAATCAATTATTCTATACTGATATGCTATTTATAAAGATGATGAATTTTGTTATAAAAAATATTTTTTAAAATCAGGAATATAGCTATTCTTAAAGAATACATATAAATCATAATTAATAATTTATAATAATTAAATATACTAATTAATAAATTGTAAATGATAAAAGAAGTTAAAAAGAAAGGATAATTATAAAATATTCAGTGATTTAAAGTATAATGTGTAAAAAATAAAACTATGAAATTACCACAAACATTCAGGAGAGTAACAATACTTTTACCTGTGATGTTTGTTCTCTAAATAAATTAAAATAGATTAAATATAAGTTAAAATAAGTAAGTAGCTAAAACAAGTTATATACAACTTAACGTGAGTTCAAATTTCTTAAAACTCGTTGAAATAATTTTTTAAAATTGATATTGAATTAATAGAAATAGAAAGTTAATAATTTTGCAAAATTATTGCAATTGGAAAATTTTGCATCGCTTTAAATGTGTGTGTACCCGGTTTTACCTTTACTTTCAGAGTAAAACTGACTGATTCAGCATCTTCCAAAAATCTTATTTCCCTTCGAACCAAATAATATTTTTAACAGAAGATTGTCATTTTCTCATTATGTAAGGTTTAATTAAGATTTCTGGCGGTGTCCAAAGTCTTTCCTGTCATTTAGTTTGCTAGCAGGAGAAATATATTAGGCACCTGGTTTTACCCTACTTTCCCCTACCTGTTATTAGCGCGTTGTATCTTTGGCAATAGACCTCTGGGCAGATTCGTCTTTAGCGATAAAATGAACATCGTGTCAGACTTGTTGGGATGTGATAAAGTCGGTTTTACTACAATTCTTGAGGATCGACGGTCCAGGAAGTTTCTGAGCTGTTCCAGACGTGCTCGAGGGTTGCACCATCATTGGTTGACCGTTCACCAGGACTATGGTGTCTCTTACGGAGTTGTACCCTCCCGATGGACCTGTGTTATAATTATCTCATGAAAGTCTAAATGGAATAAATATTTGTTTAATATATTAATCGGCTAAACATTTTTCAAACTAGATCGTAGTTCTCAAATTTTCATTTGAAGTTTCTATCAAAATTCGTACTTAAAATCTCGAGCAATTAAAATCTTTCATAAACATAAATCGACTTTTCTCTTGTAACAGTCTATTGATGAAATTAAAACTTGTTATTAGCGATAATGTTAATCAACGCTGTTTAGAATTACATATTGTAAAGTAGCAATGACAAATACGCAATTTTTCAATTGCTCCAAATTTTAGATATTGAAGAATAAATAAATATTCGAGATCTCCATAATCTGATTCGCGGTTCAGGAATTAAAATTGCGGAAGATAAAGAGCATACTAAGAAACAAAACTGTGGTAAGATATTTGATATCTATAATCCTATAATACTTCTGATGTCTTCTTTCAAGAAACATACCGATCTAAACTAAGTCAAAGTTGATCGATAAATGAGAATTTTTAAATAGACATAATTTTCTGGAACACTCTGATATTTAAGAGTAGCCTAAGTAATCGCCTCAGACGTATCCCATTATTGATCTCACCGACATACGCGTAGATGGAGACCCCTGTACAGGCCTGATAATCACGCCTAATGTAAGAAAAATAGCGCTTCCTAGCACCTGTGCATCGTGTCCCTTCGTTCGAGAATAATGACATCGAGTGTCTAGAGCGACTTATTATATCTAGATTAATTATCCCGATACCAGCCAAGTTAAATCCGATTACAGCCCAAGCTGATGAAAATTGCGCCCCGCGCGACCATGCAACCACTACGGCCTGTTTAATATCTGGATACACGTCCAGCCGGTTGATGGCGTTTAGTTGCACGCGACTGGAGCTTAATTAAGTCCCTAATTACCTGGCGACGGAGTGTGGGTGAGCGTTCTCGACGGAGTTCTGGCCGCGGGACCCCAATCAGAAGTTGGCTGCAAAAGCATCTTGGCACGACACCATA